AGTCAAGCTTACTGTCTGGTTAATTCGATTTAAGTGTCAGTTCGTGACAATACATTCGTATCTCCAAGCGCCCATGTAATATTCTGTTTATTATATAATTATCCATAAAATCAACTTAACAAGCTTTTTATTAATATGAAAAATCTTTATTTATAAGCTAATAGCTTAATTACACATGGTAACGATATTTTCACATGTGAAAATAACATGTTATTTTCACATGTGAAAATATCCGTTTTTCGAAAAGGAGAAATAAGGGTATTTTATGGATAATTATATGATAAAATGAGTTAATACATTGTTATAATACACTGTTTTCGTAATGGCTGACGAGAGCACAGAAATGAGGACAACCAGTAATCTTGCAAGACTGAACAAGGCTGCTCATTCGAAATAAAGGTGGATAGCGCGAATTCAGGTCAAAACAAAAGGTCAATTTCTATACTTTTCTTCTATAAGCACATTTCATGTGCTTTTATATTTTTATTGTAAACTAATGCCCGCGTGACCTCGTTTTTGTGTACTTGTCATCCATTATGAGAATGGTGTATTGAAAATGGTTTTTTTCTGTCGTTCTTTTTGTGTAAAATGTACAATTTGTGCATAACCCTAATTCTTGATCGTTGTAGTGCAGCTGTCTGTCTCAAGTGATCCATCTGCATCAGCCGGTCAAGTGACATGGCAGATACGAGCAAAGAAATGGCATCGAGTATTGAAATCTGTAGAGATTCTGGCATGGTACTCAAAGATACAAACAAAGAATTGACATCAAATGAATGCAATCAAGTTTGTTACGATGCTAGGTTGACAGATAACGATACAAGCAAAGAGCTGACATCAAATGAGAGTGGTATTAAAAGCAAGGATACAAGGAAAGAACGGCTTCATACAACTGTGAAGGAACAAATGGAAGATGTAATGAAAGACTCGCCATCTTCACCAAGTACAAATGGAGTAAAGGAAGAAAGAAAGGTTGAATTTGTCGAGGAAGGAAGAGTTTTTCATTCTCATAGATTCGAACGTGCAAATATTTCTCCAGTAATAATTGAGCCTGAAGGAAATGGGGGATGGAACTTGAATGTGTTGCATGTACAAAGCCATGACTTGCAGGTAGTTGCTCGCGAAGGATTTGATAATGAAGAGATTCCAACTGCATTTCGTCACCAAGACGGCATACAAATGCAATCTACCAATGAGATTGAAACAAGCATTTGCCACCAAAATGTTACACGAATAAAATCTACTGAAGCGATTGCAACAACCTTTCGTCACCAAGACGGCATACAAATGCAATCTACCAAAGAGATTGCAACAAGTATTTGCCACCAAAATGTTGCACCAAGGCAATGTACTGAAGGAATTGCGACAACCTTTTGCCATCAAGTTGGGTCACAAATACCAACTGAAAGCAAAAAAAATACACCGCCTGAAAAAATACACGCAGTAGCTTCTTCCTCTGCCACAGATAAACCTAGCACCTCTCATTGTGGTTCTAACATGGGGGTTTTAGTCAGCTCTGGTAACTTTCAGGAGAAGGAACATGTCATACAGCCGGTTGTTACACCACGTGAAGTCTCCAAGCAAGAGGTTGCAGTGCAGTGTCAATTTCCTGCACAAATGCCGATTCCCACAGATGCTAAACCATACCAGTGTCCGACGTGTTACAAAACATTCGCATATAAGTGGTCACTCAAGGGTCATGAACGTATCCATTCAGGATTCAAACCCTACAAGTGTAAGCACTGTGAGAAAGCGTTCACCAAACAGGATTTTCTAGACAAGCATGAACGGATTCATACTGGTTTTAAACCCTATGTTTGTAAATATTGCGAGCGAGCCTTCACACAAGAGAGTAATCTAACTGTGCATGAACGTATCCATACAGGAGTGAAGCCCTACAACTGTAAGCACTGTAACAAGGCATTTGCACAACGAAGTAGTCTTAAAACACATGAACGCATCCATACAGGTGTCAAACCACACAAGTGTACATACTGTGACACAACATTTACACGACATGATCATCTTATGGAACATGAACGCATCCATACAGGTGTCAAACCATACCAGTGTACATACTGTAACAAGTTGTTTGCCCATCAAGGGAATTTAAAAGAGCACGAACGTATCCATACTGGCTTTAAACCTTACGAATGCAGTTATTGTAACAAGTCATTCACAGCACGGAGTAACCTTGATTTACACAAGCGTATCCATACAGGTTACAAACCCCACAAATGTGCTCACTGTGAGAAAACGTTTTTACGGCAAGGAAATCTTGAAGCTCATGAACGCACCCACACAGGTGTCAAGCCATTTAAGTGTAAGCACTGCGACAAGGCATTTGCACAGCAGGGGAACCTCGAGAAGCATGAGCGGATCCATACAGGTGTAAGGCCTTATAGCTGTAAACTATGCAACAAGGAGTTTTCGCAGCAGAGTCATTTGAAGGTACATGAACGCCTTCATACTGGGGAAAAACCATATAAGTGTAAACACTGTGATATGGCATTCACATTTTATGGCAAGTACAAAAAACACGAACTTTCACATAACGTTGAAGTTGTCTCAACAGAGTCATCTTACAGTGCAACTACTGTAACCGGCGCCACTTAGACCAATTAGACAAGAGAACCAATTAAAATGTAGAACGAAAACAATGCATTCCAAATTTGGGTAGTCGGACCAATCAGAAACCAGCAATTTGATAGGTTCTCGCGGTCTAAGTGGCCCCGGTAGTAGTCGCACTGTAAGCGGTACATGCGCGTATTCATATCGGAGAGAAGCCATACAAACCTACATTTTCAAGTTCAAGAAACAGGAACTCTCATATGGCATGGGAGTATACTGAAGGCAGCCCTCGCTGTGTTTTAGTCTAGTGTTTTAACTTTAACTAAGAAAGAGGAACTGTTTAGAAATAATACAACTTCTTTATCAAGAGAGAGAAAAAGAGGGAGGGAGGGAGGGAGGAAAGGACCTTAAAAAGAGAAGAAAGAAAGAAGGTATGTAAAAGGAGAAAAAAAAGAGAAAGGATAAAGAGAATGAAAAAGATGGGCATTGGGGCGGGGGGAGGGGGGAGGGGGGTATCAATCCCAAAAAGGAAAGATTGACAAACTGAACTATAATGCTTGTCAGTCGTCTCGTTTCCAGTGTAAATTCTAAAGCCAGAATAATCACCCTGACGTAGGGGAATTGGCGAGGGACTCGGGAGTATCTGAGTTATCCTTCCCTCGTCACCATTTATGCTCTAATGGGAAGAGCTACATACATATAGTCCTAACAAGGTTGTAACAAATAGTGCTTACAGCGATCCTAAACATTGGGTAACAAAATACTAAATATATAATGGTTCTAGAATATGCCAAACAGGAAGTCGTAATGATGTATTGCATGCATGCTTACCAGTGCTTATTACCGGCATTTGCACTGCTACGCGGCCACCCCACACCAAAATCGTGACGCGCACTTTGCAATAGACTGCCGTCAATCAAACACGTTGACATCATTTACACGCGTGTGATTCAAAAGGCGCCAAAACTTGTCGATTGTTTACAAGTATTACGAGCCACACTCACCGGGCCTATCCGTGTAACTGACGTCAACGTGTTTGATTGACGGCAGTCTATTACAAAGTGTACTTCGCGATTTCTGTCTGGGGTGGCCGCTTAGCAATACAAATGGTGGTAACGATACGGTGCAAGCAATGTTTTGTGCCGCCTCCGGTAAGGCTTGGTACCCACTAGCAACATCAGGATCTTAATCATTAACATAAACTGCCTCAAAGACCGAGAAAATAATAATCGTAAGATGCTCGCCTATTTTCCTATGTTTATGATTGTTTATGATGTCAGTCCTTAAGGCAGGCCATGTAAATGTTTCAGTCATCAACATAGCACTTTTACAATTATGTTTATGATTATGATCATGATTATGACTCTAGTGGGTACCAAACTTTATTAAACATTATTTAAGGAATATAAAACGCCTGCTTATGTCTCTCCCTGTACTGTAATATAAACATGATGGGAACTGTACAGCAAGAGAGAAACGAGCCGTAGCAGCCCTACAGCTCCCATAGTGTTTACATCACAGTACAGAGACGTACTTTTTTCACTTTATAAAAACATTTGAACGATTTTGAGTGAGCGTGTCCTCAGAAAGGTAGAGGTAGCCAGTCAATCAGCGTGTGTGTTAATTTCAAGTATTTTATAAGCGTTTATTGTGTACACCCTAACAGCACTTGGAATAGTTAGAATAAATGGAGTTGAAGTGATATTGATAAGGAATGAAAGTCAAAAAAAAGGATTTCTTTCCGAGCTGCTTTCATTTTGTATCGCTTCTACTCCGTTTATTCTACTTATATTCATACGATACAAATCATTATTCATTACTATGAGTATCTAGTAAAAACACACAGGTGATTATTGAAAATCTCGCGCGCTGATTGGTCGAGAAACTCACACTATCGCACGATAATCACCTCCAGCGATAATCCAAAATGGCGGCCAGCCGCTTTGTTGCTGTTACCGGAAAAAAATGTCTTTTATCTTCTTTTTTTTTTGAAAGAATCACCTGTGTATTTAGACTAAGACAAGTACATTATTACGATACATGGACCAAGTGTTTCTAACTGTGTGTCCTCAATGTCCTGGCCCCAGAACGTCTTATTTATGCCGTGTATAGTAACAGGCTATTTATCCGAACCGTTTGTAAATATGAAACATTAGTATGGAGAGGAAAAGTGTTTGAAAGTACAAGCCTCTAGAACGTTTAGTTTTTTGTATCGCTTTTCTTTTCTTTTTTTATAGTGTTTTACTTGTACCAAACTGTCTCCTTCGCTGACTCCTCCATTTTAAAAGTGTTTATTAACTTTGAATGCACGTGAAATTTCGCCTCTTGCCGAACATCCTTTGGAATATCAGAAAGATAGTTCAGTGGGTGGTTGGTAATGTATTAAAGATTATTTCAGCAAAGTTCCAGCTCGAATGAAAGAGTTTTAATTTGAGCGATTTTCGTCCAAGTTCCCCTTTAAAACCCAAAGAAAACATCTAACAGTAAAATTGTTTGTACGACCAGGCTACTCAGATTAATCTTAAAACGTTTGCGCATGCGTGCATTTCAGCACGTTTTTTAAGAATTTTGAAGAGTTTGAGTGAGAAAATAAATGTTTGTTTTCTCCAAGTATACTAAAAAGTTCGAGAGTATACTTTTGTCAGACTAAGATACTGTATTAACAAACACAATATGAAAGAATAAGACTTAAGTTTTTAAGTTTTGGCATTTTGTGAAGTCCAATTTCTAAGGCATGTTTGAAAGTCAAATTTTCGTATGTTTTGACTCATTTGCATACGGATTCAGAGCATGCGCAGACATTTTTCACTCGTGTCTCTAGATACAGCTCGTGGAATGTTCATAAATTGTTGCACCGACAGTTAACACATGTTTCATATCAGCTGTATATCTCTAATGAAGACATCAGAGGATAACTTTGACTTTTCCCATAATATCTCACTTCACTGTCTAGCTTCCATGTTCTTGGTTCTATGTTCTTGTTCTTGACTTTTAAATTTTGTATTTGAGAGTATAAGACGAGTGTCCCCCTCACCAATTAATTAGGGGGCTGCCATGCAGGTACACCCAGTTATATAGTCAACATGTCTATTCATGCATATCCAAGATATTTCATCACAAGAGAGAAGCATGAAGTGTGAAGTAACGTAATTTTTGTGGAAGTATTAATGGTTTTCACGGCGGCCATGTTGGAGGAACTTAACAAAAGAATTGTCAGTGAATTCTTTTGTTATATCCTCCAACATGGCCGCCGTGTCTTTTGTTATTTAATTCTCTTGGGAATGGTTGAAAACCATCAATAAGAAAACAAAGTTCACAGATATGATTGATCGGGTACCAAACCAGGCGACTGATTGTTATACCGTCTATATCAGGTAATATTAATCATGTTAGTCCTAGGGCAAACGTCGAACTTTCCATGCACCGAACTTGATTACATAATCAGAGAATGCCGCCTCATTATCACCTGATGTCCATTGTTTTTAATGAGTTCGGTGCATGGAAAGTTCGACGTTTGCCCTAGGCCTTGGATCGTTAACGTTTTTATACAAATTTATTATTTTCGTTAAGTTATTTGACTTCGGCTGTGACATGAGCCACAACTGACAGGGAACCAATTACCGGTAGGGTGAGCAAAAAACAAAACCAACAAAAATAACAACAGAGTTTAGAATTAACAACAACAGCTGACTTCGCTTGCAAGACTTCGTTTAGCATTACACTTTAAACAACAAATGGTTTTTTATCATTCGGGGGATTAGTCTCCCCACAGCCGTTCGTAGTCTCGTTCTTAGTGTCCTACGCTCACTCCCCACCATCATCATCATCCATCATCCATTATCCATCATCCATCATTCATCATCCATCATCCATTCCACCATCCATCATCCATCATCTATTCCCCATCATCCATCATCAATCATCCATCATCCATCATCCATCGTCCATCGTCTATCATCCATCATTATCACTATTATAATAATCATCATCATTGCTGTTGTTACAGTTCATGTTCATCTCTTTTGACTTGTATTCTGTCACGGTTACCATGGTGAACGATAAGATAGTGATGGTCACGTGAACAGCTGAATATCAGTCGTGACAAGGACTTCCTAAAATCTCTCATTCTGAACACATAGATTAATGGGTTGATAAGCGAGTTGAGATTTTGGATTAAAACCGCTGTTTGGAAAATCCTGTAAATGTTATCGTTATATCCAAACAGGAATATCCTGTTCAAAATATATACGTAAGGTAGCCATGTTATTAAAGACAAGACAGTAGCTATAAAGAGCGTCATTGCAAGATGGTGTTCACGTTTCTGTCTCATTTGTATGGCAGCTGTTTGTTGTTGATTTGGTTGGAGTCGCTTTGCTTGGATCTTGACTTTGATAAAGATTGCTGAGTATGATGTACAGATAATAAGCAGGCAGAGTAGTAATACAATAACGACAATATCTTGCTTTATTTTAACATAACCATAAAATAGAACAAAAAGAAACGGTAAGATCCATGTGATGGTGAACACCGCAATATACGTCTTGAGTCGTGTTGTACGATGTTGAAAGGGAAAGAAGGTTGCGTAGACACGGTCAAGAGAAACCAGAACCAAAGAGAATAGAGACGAAACCATAAAAATACAATATATATATTGCCCTTCCACGAAATATATATCAGTTAAATTAAAAATAACATCGCTTGGCATAATTAAGGCACCAAACAACATATCAGCCACTGCTAAGTTAATGAGGCAGTACACACTACGACGACGAAGATGTCTGTTGATAATAAACGTGACAATCGTAGCTAGATTGAAAACAACGATCAAAAAATCAAGAACACTGAAAATAGCAGACCAGATGATGATTTCGGTGTGAGTAAGTACAAAGGTATCGATTGTAGCATTGACGTCCGTCGATGTGTTACTACTGTTACTCATCCGTATTCTCTTTATAATCACTATTAGTTAAGTATTCGTTAAGTATTCGTTAAGTATGCGTTAAGTATTCGTTAAGTATTCACTGGATTCACTGCAAATCTGAAAAAAATAAATTGCTTAATTAATTACTCAATAACATTTGTTATTGTAACGATCAGTAAAAACACACGCAGTGCAACATCTCGCGCAATATTGCAGGCAATCAGCTTCGCAACTCGACGCAGTTTTTTAAACGCAATGTTTGAAGTAGAAAACGATTCTAATTCAGCATTGCCTGTATCGTTGTGTGCAATGTTGAACCGTGCCTCTGTGCCTTTATATCTACAGTAAACCAGACATGCTCTACATTCGTACGGGAATCCTAGAACAATGTCCGAACTTTATGGTGACACTGAGTAAACCCCACGCAATTTCATACCACGTGACGGCTAGAGCTCAAAAGATGAATTGCAGTTCAATAGTTTTTTATATTAGCAACTGTGGCAGTCCTGTCGCGAAGTTTGAGAGAATTGTCGCACTTTAAAATAAAACGGCCAACTCATACATGGATCGAACCCTGAAACAACCTCTGGGCTTACCTAAGTCAAGGCATCGCTAACTCACAGATCGAACCCTGAAACAACCTCTGGGCTGATCTAACTCAGGGCACGGCTAACACACAGATCAAACCCTGAAACAACCT